AAATTAAAGTTAAGAAGAAAGACCTAGCCCCAAAAAAAACTTTGGGGACACTAGATGAAAGTTAATGTGCTAACCTTCGGCAACAAAACCAAAAAACTTTAATTTCAAACAAAAGTTATATGATTGTTTACAATAAATCCAATATACATCACCACGATTTTGCTTGTCACCGTATTTATCTATTTATAAATCCAATGATCCAGTTCAAATCAAAACTGTTTAGGCAAAGAAAATCGTGAACACTCGATCAACTCCATACTAGAGTTAATTAATTATTGATTACTGATTTACATAACGTCAACTCTACACACGAATTCATACATACGTTTACTCAGTCTAACTTACGTAAAGCCGTAAAAATCAACTACGGGTTTCGGCAATCCAGGGTCAGATATTTTCCGTCCCGCCGCCGAAGTTAAGGCTCCAGGGGCATTTTTTATACCCAAACACGCTCACGCATAAATACATTCTTTATTATTTGCATACCAGCAACTCAATGGACGGTGGAGTTCTCGATATTCAATCTAATTGAGGGCCTCTGAGGAAGTCAATATTGCGCCAACGGCCCTCTGACACTACACAATTAATATAAACAACAGAAAATATGTGAAGAAAGTACTATATACAATAAAACAGCCCTGTTTCGGCTAAAGAAATCGGAACGGGGACCTAAATTGCCGTACTAGACTTAAATGTTCAGGGTGATCCAGCATAAAGCCAAAATAAATTGTTATAGTACATCCCAAATAGAGGAAAATGCAACCAACAGAACTGTTCAATGTCAAACCGGCGATATCAAAAATATATTTTTTCCTGTTGCCAGGAAAATTTATTAATTAAAGAATGTTTAAAACTAATTGTTTTTCCCAGAAATGTTGTTTCACTTAGTTTACTTGAAATATCTTATCTTTTATATACAGGGTGGTCCAGCATAAAACCGAAAAAATTGGGTTATAGTACATCCTGCATAGAGTAAAATGTAACCAACCGAACCGTCCGATATCAATCCGTTCGGATTTATAAATTTTTAGTGTTTTTTTGAAAAGTCAGTCACTTAAGCCATAAATAGGCATTTTTTCAAGATCTAGAGCTTTTTTTATCTTAAGCCATAAATAGGCATCGTGGGAAATGTTCTCCCTTAGACCTAGAGCATTTTTAACCACATTTTTGAATTCTGCATTAAATTTCCTATAAGAAGGAGCTGTTTACAATCTTACAATGTATTAATCTATATTTATTTAGGGCCCAATTTGGCCATATTAATTATTCCAATTAATTATTCTTTTCGTCTCGACCCAAAACCTTACATGAAAAAAATATTTATGATGTATTTTTATTAAATCAACCCAGAATGAAAAATTTTAAAAAAGGAGAAACTTTTGATAAATTTTCTAAAATAACTGTTTTTCAACAAACATATTTGTAGGGGTCACAAACATCATAAAAACTTCTTCATTTAATAAGCTTTCTTTTTCTTCTTCCTATCTCCGAATTTTTTATATTATTGTTATATATTTATTATTAGCTATTCTCATTCCGATGAACATCAAAACCATCATTTTTTAAAACACCAGAACCAACATAGAATAGTTAAATTGAGAGATTGATGGGTGAATAAGAATCCTATATCCAGACAAGCTGGTAATTTTTGCCTCTCCTTCCTAAAATAGTTTATGTTTTGAAAGAGATTTTTTATCGAAATAATTTTTAATTGGCCCCAAACCTCATATAAAGAGAGTCTATATTTAAATTAATTAAAGCAAGTTTTAAGCAATAATAATATTTTATCTAATTTTTGAATCAGTTGAAAGTAGTGTAAAAAAAATTTAATTCATACCTTTCGTAATATCTTGTTCAAATAATAAGAAAATAAAGCCAGTGTTTGTCCATGTTGAAATGTTGTGGATATCGGATTACACGTCCAAGAGGAGAGAAAAGGTAAAAACTTGATTTTAAATTGTAATGAATTTGTTTTGTCCAAAACTTTTAAACTTCCTATCTCAACCCCACCTTATGAGTTTTCCCTCCTTTTTGACATTTTCAAATGTCAATTAATCAGTTTGGATTCTCGACGACAATTGAAATGGCCACGGAGAGCTTTAGTGAAGTGTACTTCATATTAATTCTTTAAATTCACTAATTTCGTGGTCCGCTTGACCAATTAAATCATTACAATTAATTAAGGTTTTCAGTTGAGATGAAAAACTCATAAGGTGGGGTTGAGATAGGAAGTTGATGTCCGAGTGGATCGAGGTCACGATAGCTCAAGTGGTAGAGCAGCGGCGTATCTAGCCGAAGATCGTGTGTTCGAATCCCGCTCGTGCCATTAACTTTTTTTCATCTAAACTAAAAACCTTAATTAATTGTAATTATCATCAATATCAAATTTATAAAAAGTTAAGTTCTAACAAAACTAATTAGTTCAAGACAAGTTTTTTTATAAACTTTTGAACTGCAAATACAAAATAAATTAGGCTTTTGTAATAAAATGGTTAGAAAAGAATTCAATGATTTCTGATTATTTGTCCAAATCAAACGAAAGGAGGAAGTGGTAATTACACGTTTGACCGTAGGTCACAACTGTCTCACACATGGACGCTTCAGGGGTGGCGGAGTTCCTCCGACAAGTAACACGTGGGCTGTTAATCATTTGATGTACTGAAAGGCAAAAATTTTCCCATCCTTAGTATTTTTAATTATCTCTTAGACAATCTTCCATTGATTAGCAACAATATTTGGTCCGTTTTAAATAATTTGATGTAAATATAACACAGATAAAATCTACCACTTGTGTTTACAATTGGATTTTGTAAATAAATCTTTGAATGGTCATTCCCTTCTTTGTTTTTGTGTAAAGTTCCTTTCTATCGTTCCGGTGGTTTGATTTCTTTTTAATTTGTGCCTGCATCTACAAAATGCAACAAACAAATGATACATATTATGTTCATTAACAAAATTAACAATTAGTAAAAAAATACAAAATGTATGTAAACACATAGTCGTATATAATATCAAAAATGATGAAAATGGCGTGAAGGCTGGAAAAGGTAAGCCGCCCATTGTCGACCTAACCTAGTTGTTATTAAGTAGGTCCCTTGGCCACTGTCGTTTTAGACGCGGGTTGACCCGGCCGGATTTTGTAAAGTTTAAATTTGTGGACAAGTGGATTGGTGTGTACATTTATGGAGTTATGGAATTTTGTTTAACGGGAAAAGATGAATTCTTTGACAAAAGGAATTCGGAGGTCGGTGTGTTGAGTAAGCTTCGAGACGTAATAATGAGCGTTACCTTACGGGGAATTTTTGACCGAGGTGAATTATTTTGCAAGAAGAATTTGGTTGAGCCCCACACATTCCGTACGTTCAGATGGGTCGTAGTACTGAGTAATAACAGTTAGTTCGTTATTGAAAGTTTTGATCGTTTGTTTGGTATACGTATACAAAATTTGTTAAGTCCCTGTCTTTTCAGTTTAGTGTGGTAGTTCCATGCAGACTTTTATCGAGAAACACGACTAGATATTTCACTATGTCAGCAGACAGTATAAATATTGTTACAGTAGAATGTTGGAAAGGGTAAAGTTTGCATAGATGCATTTATTTTGATTAATTTTTATTCTTCATCATGTTGTAGGCAGCTATGTCTGGGTTTTGATGCGAGAGAAGGATAAAAGGGTCATCTGCGAATGTAGGAAGGAATGGGAAAATCTTCGTCTCTGAATCTCCCGAAATCTGCTGATGATGCAATGAAAATAAATTAAGCCTAAACAGTTCCAAACCCGTTAAAAATGCAACAATAAATGTAGGTCTTCTACATAAAAGTTAACTAATTTTCTTATAACCCCTAAGCAACATGGAAATAATGTTGTTATTTATTAATTGTTAACGCATAATTTCCACATATATTGAAAATTGAATGTTATATTGATTTCAATACAATTGATTACAAGATATAAAAAACAGAATGGATAGGTATAAAAAATGTAATAAGTGTGAATGAATGAATTGTTTTTAAAAAATTGGCCCTCGGTTAACAATAAACATATACATAACATTTTATAGTATTGAAACTTAAACATTTCGTTCACGATACCACTGTTTATAACTTAAATTAATCATAATTCAGTTTGCATGAATATTAAAACTTTTTCGTCATAGGTCAAATTCAATTTGGACTAGTTAAATAATCTATTGCTTTGTTTGCAGCTGGAATTATTAATAGTTATCTATAAATTAAAAAGAAAAATAACATTTTAAGAAGGCTAAATCAAATTTTATTCAAATCAATTTTTCATCAATTCTATGTAAATTCCTTATTCTAATGAGACCCAACGTCTAAGAAACGAGGCAAGAAAATAATTATGTGCATTTTTTGGGGGTCGTGAGATGCGGTCTGGTGTGACGTAGGTTTTAGAAAAAACATTTTCTTTATCGTGCCAACGTTTCGATCTTTATTGAGATCATCTTCAGTGCTCAAAGTGTTTGTTTTCCGTGTAGAAAAAACAACAAAAATTTGAGCCTTGAAGATGATCTCAATAAAGATCAAAACGTTGGCACGACAAAGAAAACGTTTTTCCAAAACCTACGTCAAACCAGATCGCATCTCACAATTTCCGAATAATCATTGACTAACGGACACTAAATACCACAAATTATGTGTATTGTTATTAAAAGTAATTACAATATTTTCATCAGGACGAATATAATAAATATTGTTAGTTTTTGAATTGCAAAAATATTTTTATTATAGTATTAAATAAATTGTCAATAATTAATATGTGATGTTGGCATATTTGGACCTTTCAAAACGTGAAACCTAATTGCAAAATAATATCATTAACTTTCTAAATCTAATTAAATGTATAAATTTAAAAAATATAGGCGATTTTAGCGCCAAAAATGAACATAAATTGTAAAAAAATAGTTGGGTTTTTAATAGATTTTTTGTACATAAAAAAAAACAATCCGAAGGAATATGGGACAAGAGAATTTTTTCCAACTTACAAAATTTTCCGGAACGTCGTGCCATCTTTTTCAACAAATCGGGCGAATTTGAAGTCGACGCGCCGAGATGTAACCGAGAACTGATGTTCATCCTCCTCCCGCAACATGAACATGCGCCCTGCCCAGTTCACCGCGAATCCGTACTAATCCAGGTGCAATTGCCCTTTCGTCAAACATTTTCGATTGCCGGAGATTCCTACCGTTAAAATGCCAATTAAGAAGTCTCGGCCTTTGGAAAAAAATTGACTTGGAATCGATAGGTAGGCGTGATATGACACGTCTTCTGTCTTACAGTACAATACGTTTCCAGTTGTTGAAAGAACACGAAAAATGATTAAATCTACAATAATTTCAGAAATCAATGACAATCAAGACAATGAGAAAACCAGTAAAAGAATTAGCACATTAAATACACAGTAACTATACTTATATTTTAATACAACGCAAACTATATTGCATAAATGTATCACGAGTTTTTTTCATATTCTGATTCTAGTTCTATATTATCACGGTTTAAATCAACGTCACTTCAACAATCATATACGGTAGCGGTATGAAAGAGGGATGCGGGGAAGCCAAGCCGGCTTTGGAATTTGGCCGAAATGTCAAAAGTATGTTATTTTCTCCAACTAATTCAGGATAACAAACAAAATACCGCAGGTTACCAAGTTCGTTACTTCCTGCGTGTAACGAATGCTGGTCTCTGTACGAAAGGGACTTTCTTCGGAGATCTTCACTTCTAGTGACCAATCAAGACGGAGTGACAACTTTAAGACAATAACTCGAAATTTACTCACTTACTCGAGAGCAGTATGACGAGTGTGACCAATTACAAAAAGTTGAAAATAGTGTAAAATAAATTCTTTTGACTATGTACCACCACGAAATCCAACCACATTTTTTTAATATATATTAAATTTATTTATTAAAACTAGTCTTATTAGACCAACCATTAATTTTACAATAATATTATAGAATAAATAAATGTTTACATTCTTATAAACCCATTGATACAATAAGATTTACATTTCATAATTCACTATTCATTTTTAACTACACAAGTTCATATGGCTTTGTTCTTTTTAATCTTCTGACCATGTTTCGGTTATGTAAGAGTTTAGTTAGCTTCCACATTCTCTTGCTGGAGCTTTTGACAAGGTCTGGCACGAAGGACTCATCAATAAACTAAAAGGTATGCTACCAAAGCAGTATGTCGATATTATCAGTTCCTACCTAACTGGCAGACTGTTTAGAGTCAAACAAGAAGATCAATATTCAAAATTAAAAACAATAAATGCAGGAGTGCCACAAGGTAGCATATTAGGTCCACTGCTTTACTTGTTATACACCAGTGATTTTCCGAAAATAGATGGAGTAAAAATTGCAACGTTTGCAGATGACACAGCGGTGATATCACTAGGACCGACTATCACCCACTCAACCAAAATCCTCCAAAATGCATGTAATAAGATAAACGAATGGACAAAAAAATGGAAAATCAAGCTAAATCAACATAAATCAGTTCATATAATCTTTACAAACAAAAAGGTGGACCATGTTCCGTCGCTCATAATCGATGGAACTACTATACCATACAGCAATACAGCTAAATATCTGGGAATGACCTTAGATGCCAAGCTGAGATGGAAAGAACACGTGAAGAAAAAAAGGACAGAAATAGGTTTAAGGTATAGACAACTATACTGGTTGATAGGACGTGGCTCCAATCTTGCTATACAAAATAAAATATTATTATATAAACAAGTCATAAAGCCTATGTGGACATATGGTATTCAACTATGGGGTTGTACCAAACACAGCAATATCAAAATCATACAAACACTCCAAAATAAAATCTTACGTAACATGGTCAATGCACCTTGGTACATAAGGAATAAGGACTTACATAGGGATCTTAAGATCCCTGAAGTCACGGCGGAAATACAAAGATTTGCCGCCAAACACCAGGCTCGCCTCAGCCAGCACGAGAATGTGGAAGCGACCAAACTCTTACATAACCGAAACATGGTCAGAAGATTAAAAAGAACAAAGCCATATGAACTTGTGTAGTTAAAAGTGAATAGTGAATAGTGAAATGTAAATCTTATTGTACCAATGGGTTTATAAGAATGTAAACATTTATTTATTGTATAATATTATTGTAAAATTAATGGTTGGTCTAATAAGACCAGTTTTAATAAATAAATTTAATTTAAAAAAAAAAATTCTCTTGCTGGCTTTGGCGAGCCTGATGTTTGGCGGCAAATCTTTGTATTTCCGCCGTTACTTCAGGGATCTTAAGTTCCCTATGTAAGTCCTTATTCCTTATGTACCAAGGTGCATTGACCATGATACGTAAGATTTTATTTTGGAGTGTTTGCATGATTTTGATATTGCTCTGTTTGGTACAGTCCCATAGTTGAATACCATATGTCCTCATAGCCTTTATTACTTGTTTATATAATAATATTTTATTTTGTATAGCAAGGTTGGAGCCACGTCCTATCAACCGGTATAGTCTATACCTTAAACCTATTTCTGTCCTTTTTTTCTTCACGTGTTCTTTCCATCTCAGCTTGGCATCTAAGGTCATTCCCAGATATTTAGCTGTATTGATGTATGGTATTCGAATGTGAGCGACGGAGCAAGGTCTACTTATTGTTTGTAAAGATTAGATGTACTGATTTATGCTGATTTAGCTTGATTTTCCATTTTTTTGTCCATTCGTTTATCTTATTACAAGCATTTTGGAGGATTTTGGTTGAATGGGTGATAGTCGGTCCTGGTGATAGTGGTCCTCTGTGTCATCTGCAATCGTTGCAATTTTTACTGGATCTATTTTCTGAAAATCACTGGTGCAGTATTTAAAGAAGTGGACTTATTACCTTGTGACACTAATGCATTTATTGTTTTTAATTTTGAATATTGATCTTCTTGTTTGACTCTAAACAGTCTGTCAGTTAGGTAGGAACTGATAATATCGACATACTGCTTTGGTAGCATCCCTTTTATTTTATTGATGGGTCCTTCGTGCCAGACCTTGTCAAAAGCTTATGAAAAGGAAGATAGCAGAACAAATTTTTTTTCTTCAAGAGATTTTTTTATTACGTCCGTTACTCTATGAAATTGGGCTATTGTTGAATGTCTTGTTCGGAATCAAAATTGGTGGTCAGGGATGATTTTCTTTTTTCTACAATGGGTTTTATTCGTTTTAATAATAACTTTTCGAAAATTTAGACACTATCGGTAGTAGCGATATTGGTCTATATGATTTAACCTCGTTCGCCGGTTTTCCTTTTTTTTTTTTTTTTTTTTAATCATAATGGCTTCTGCGAATTTCCAGATGCTGGTAACATATTTCAGTCTGATTTTCAGCATTAAATAGGTACGTTAGTTTAACTATACCCTTTTTTAGCAATTGTTTTAGTATTTCTCCAGTGATACAGTCATATCCTCGAGTCTTTCTGGCAGGTCAATTTTTAATTTCTTGTGCTCCTTTTTTGGGTGTAACCAGCTTTACATTTTCTTCTTGCACCCACACTTAATAACAAAAATAATAATATTTTGGAATTTAGAAGTTTCAAAAGGGTGTGAATGTAGCTCAAGTAACCTCATAGGCAGTATAGATACATACCAGAACAGAAAATTCACAAAACCATTTGAAATGACATATAACTTCAGGGGAAAGAGATCTCGCGGGAGATGATTGTGGGGTTCTCTGACTATCTAGCATATTTAACAAATTAAAATTTTATTTAAGAAAGAATTTAAGAAATTTGTAACAACGGAATAAAATACAATCACGGAAAAAAAAGACTAACCACGGAAGAAAGTACAATTACAAAAAAACAAAAGAATAATCACGCTCTGCTATCTATTTTGTAAGCGCGTCTCTTCTGTTTTGGGCCCAACCCTGAATTCGGAGAACCGAAAACAAGGTCCCAGAGGTTTTATATGATCGGACCTGACTACAATTATTTAATTTATTGATCAGGCACCTTTTTTTGATATACAAAATTCCAATATTCAATGCAAACCAAAATAAATACCAGACGAGATATATAAAATATTAATTAAATTTAAATCTTTTATTACAATTTATTTTCAAAAAAGATTAGAATTTCTTTTATTAATTATTATTTTTAATTTAAAGAATCTTTTATTCTATAATAAAAACATTAATTTTAAAATCGACGTTAATTCTCGTTTTATAAAGAAAAGTAAAAATAAAGGAAATTATTATTGTTGTTATTATTATTAATTTTTGACCACCAATTAGAAAATACAATTAAAATTTTAAAATAACTTTTAAAATCAAATGTTATCTCTTTTAGTTTTCTTTATAAAAATATATTTTTTGTTACAACCCTTTTTTAAATTAAAATACAATTATTAGTTTTAGTTTTTTGACGTCAAAATATAAAGTTTACTCACTTCAATTGTGTGCACACCAATTTTTTCTTAATTACAAATAAACAGCTCTTAACTCATAGAGGACAGAAAGGGAATTGTTTTTTTGACTGAAAAAAATACCCCTTTCCTAGCCCCTACTCCTTTCACTGTCAGATGTGTGAGGAGGGGCATGGCGGTACATTCAAATCAAAACGTGACATATATATCAAAAGCTATCATAGAAACAGCACATAATACGAAAACTTAATATTTTTAATTTAAAAAGACATATGTTCACGAAAGTGTTGTGAAATCAAATCGTCCCAACTGAAAAATTTTCAGGAAAACAACTAACCCGTTTTAGGCTTATAACTCAAATGTTAAGTGATTGCCATGTCATACCCATATGCAGTTTACCATCAATACTTTTAATGTTTACTCTTATTTCATAAAATCGGCTAGAGAAACGTTTTCGAATTAACATAAACTGCTAATCTGCCATGACTAGGTTGTTCTATAAGGCCTTGTTGCTGTATTTTTACGTTGGCGTTAATTTCATTGGATGTGTTTTATAGATAAAAGCCTTTTCATATTTTTAAAATTTGCTGATGAAATAATTTTTTTTCGTAGTTGGGCCAGAGAGAAAGATACCTCGGAGAGAAAAACGGAGAGTCG